TTAGGGTGAGGATGTAGCTCAGGGACCAAGGGCTTGCCTAGCATTTGTGAAACTTTGGATTTGATTTCCAGCATTGCAAAAACTGAAAGTACAACTTAATTATATTAACCCCATTTCAAGGGCTCAGTAGCCCAGTCTGGATAGTGGCTCCAGTGCTGGACAGTGCAGACTGGTCACGGCGGCATACTCCTGAGTCCCCAGCACTTGGAAGCTGATGCAGGAGGATCGCATTTGAGGGCAGCCTCCACTACACAGTCAGACTGTGTCTCTAAGAAGGAAACAGAGCAGAGCGAACTTAGCAGGACACTCACAGACTCCTCGGTCTTCAACAAGCGTCTGCAGTGTCCGCCCACAGCAGCTGTGTAACAAGGTCGACTCGCATCGCCCGTCCTTCAGATCAAACTCATACACGCACAGTTCATAATCCTCACGGACGGCGAGCAGCTTGGGCTTGTCTGTGCCGTGGTCACGACACTCCTCCCATACGAAGCTAAGGAAAAAAGTCTAGATTTATTATATTTCTACGCCCACAATCCCATTGACCGCAAAGGCAGGGATCAAAGGGCAGAACAAGAGCACTTACCTCACTCATCAGCACCAGTTCTGCAACCCAACTTAGGAGAATGGAACTGCTTTAGGGTCTCTTCCTTCTCCCCACTTTTCCCTACTCTGTCCCCTACACTGTCTGAGAGTAGGAGATGAAGTGAGCTTAGAGCAGAAAACTGCTTCCTCATCCCTTCAGCTTTCTTTCTCTCTTTCTCTCTTTCTCTCTCTCTCTTTCTCTCTTTCTTCCTTCCTTCCTTCCTTTCTTTCATTCATTCCATTCATTCACTTATTCATTCATTCATTTATTTGTTTTTTTTTTTTTTTTTTTTTTAGACAGAGTTTCTTTGTAGCTTTGGAGCCTGTCCTGGAACTCGCTCTGTAGCCCAGGTTGGCCTCGAACTCACAAAGATCTGCGTGCCTCTGCCTCCCAAGTGCTGGGATTATCCTTCAGCTTTTAAAAAAGCCTTATTAAATCCATTTATTCTTTTACCTTGAGCACCAACTGATATTTTTAAACAGATTGTTATCATGAAGAATAAATACCAACAATCAATCTTGTTTTTTTTTTTTTTTTTTTTTTGACATAGGGATTTTTCTATGTAATCCTGGCTGTCTTGGTACTTGCTCTGTAGACCAGGCTAGCCTCAAATCTGCCTGCCTCTGCCTTCTGAGTGTTGGGATTAAAGGTGTGTGCCACCAAGCCCAGCTCTAAATTTATTACTTATAAATATATTACTTATCACAATTAATAAAATGGGCTTACAGAGATGGAGAGATGGCTCAGTGATTAAGAGCTCATATTAAGAGCTCACAACTATCAGTAACTCCAATTCCAGGGAATATGACGCCCTCTTGTGGTCTCTGCAGGCACCACCAGGCATGTGGCACACATACATGCATGCAGGCAAACACTGGACACATAAAATAAATATTTTAAATGGGCTTTGGCTGAGTTGAATTATTTCAGATTTTAAAGATTCTTTACATATAGTTTTTGACTACTCCAGAATGTTATGGTACAGAACAACCCTGTCCAATAGAACCTTGTGATAATGGAAATGTTATTTTCCATTTCAGTGCTGCCCAAGGCAGCCACAACCAGTGGGCAGATATTGCTACAAAGCACTTCAGCTGTGGGCACTGCAACCAAGGAACTGGATTTCAACATTCATTTTAACAGCCACACGTGGCTAACGACAATTATTCTAGACAGCACAGTCACCAGTGTGGGCTAACAAGGGTGGGGAAAGACCAACTGTCATAAACATAAGGGTTGTAGGTGGCTAAGGGGTTAAGGAGCCGGCTCCACAAGCTTGAGAATGGCAGTCTGGGTACTCAGAACCCACATAAAAGCCAGGCAGGCATGGCAGCCTGGCCACCTGTTAATACCAGCACTCAGAAGGAAGAAGTAAGGGATCCTAGGGACAAGCTAGCAGCTCAGATCTGTCTGATCCTGTGAGCTCCTCCTTTCAGACACAGACTCTGCCTCCGGAAGTGAGGTGGAAGGCCAGCAAAGGCTCAGCAGGGAGAGGCACCTGCAGGCAAGTCTGGCAACCTCTGCTGGATCCCTGAAATCCATGTGAAGGCAGACGCAGGGAACCAACTCCACAGAGCTGTTTCCTGACCTCCCAAATTTGTGCAGCGCCACGGGTTCATGAGCATGTGCACACACACCCAAAAACTTATAATAAAATTTAAAAAACATTGTGGAGAGCAATCTACTAAGATATCCAGTGTCAGCATCAGGCCTCCACGTGTGCATATGCACACATTCGCACACATGTACAAACAAATACAGAAAGGACCCAAGCCAGGCATAGCAACACGGACCTGTTAGCTGCTCAGAAGGCTGAGGAAGGAGGGTCTCTGGAGCCCAGGAACTGGACAGCCTAAGTCACATAGCAAGACTATCACTAATACACATGAGCCAGATGTGGTGGCTCAACAATAATCACATTCCTCAGTGGCTGAGACAGGAAGACTGAGACTTTGAGGCCAGCCTAGGCTACAGAGAAAGACCCTTTCTCAAAAGCAGTGGTCACTCCGAAAACAACGCAGTTCGAGGAGATGAGGCACCCTCTGAGAGTTTCAACTTCTTTAAAAGCTTTGTTTTCTACAGAAGTAAGTTTTATATTAAATGGGGCGGCTATTAGGTCCTTAGTAGAAAGACTTGCACTTCAATCCGGGCACTCGGGAGGCAGAGGCAGTCACTGTTGGAGGCCAGCCTGGTCTACAGTGTGAGTTCCAAGACAGCCAGGGTTACAAAGTGAAACCCTGTCTTGCATCATCCCCTCTTCTCCCCCAAAAGGAAAAGACCAACAGTTCACATTTCTGCCTTTTAAATAGCAGGAATTATTTCTTTTTTACGAACACCTAATTTCTGTTTACACTGGAAATTTGGGAAATAACCTAAATATCAACCCTGGAAAAGGTTAAACAAAGTAAACTATTTAAAGGCACTGCACTATCCCAAAGGGAGATCACTGTGAGACCTTATCAGACAAGGCATTATTCAAGGGGCGCAGGTAAAATACTTGCTGATTTACCAAACTTGCCTTGTGTGTACAGAGCTGTTACAGAAGTTGGAGTATCTAAAGTGAGATACTTCTTGGCTCTACAGGCTCACACAGACTGGTCCTAGAATACTTCCCACTATTAGAAAGGTCAGCATATAGTCGGGGCATTCCTAAACTTTATGATGCTGACTGTCCACCCTGGATAGGATTTATGAAAATGGAAAGTAGTACATTATTGTAACTGTCTACCTTTTCGGTTCATGGGAACCTCGTGCCCAAGAAACAGCAGGCATGCAAGTACGGAGATGGAGGCACTAGAAAGGGTAAAGCAGGAGGATTGCGACTTGCAAACCAGCTACCTGGAGACTGTGATCAAATCCGTTAAAAGTGGGACTGGGCTAGTTCAGTGACCCCAGGGCACTTATGTGCAGAGTGGGGCTATGTTTGCAAGAAAGCATTATTTCCGTAACAAAAATGGATATTTGAAATGAGCCAGATCATCTGGCACTTTTGTTTGTTTGTTTGTTTTTCAAGACAGGGTTTCTCTGTGGCTTTGGAGCCTGTCCTGGAACTCGCTCTATAGACCAGGCTGGCCTTGAACTCACAGAGAGCCTCCCGTCTTTGCCTCCCAAGTGCTGGGATTAAACACGTGCACCACCACCGCCCAGTTTACGCGGCGTCTTTAAACAAGGTCAGGTGTGGTAGTTTAGGCAGAGGCACGTGGATCTCTGTAGGTTCAAGCCCAGCCTAGTCTGTGTACCAAGTTTTAGTGCTGCCTGGGCTGCGTAACGAAGGGGGGGGGGGGAGAGACAGGCTTAGTATTCCTTTCTGTAACAATCTGTTTTAAGTTAAAGAAACGGTTCCTGGACTGGGACCCATCCAGGGTTATCTTCTCTGCCCATCCAGAGAGTGAGTTAGGGAGATGCAACAAGGTGAGCATTTCGCTCCGGGATGGGAAAGGTTCCTAGAGGAATGGGACTCACAGTTTTGGGGTGATTCCCCCGCTGTCACCCCTCTCCCACCAACCCGCGCCGCGAGGAGCACGCAGGCTTCCCGCTCAGGAGCGGCCGGGGCAGCTCAAGGTCCAGACGCCTCCCGCACTGCACAGCTGTCCCGCAGCACTTACTGCCCAAAGGGGCCTTGGAGGCAGCAGCTGCTTCCACCCCTGCTGCCCGGCGCCAGGGAGAGCACTCGGAGACTGCCCGCAGCCGTCAGGCTCCCCAGGGCCTCCTGCTCTCGGTGCAGCTGCGCCCGCGCTCCGAGCTGCGCCGTCTCCTCGGCAGGGAGCTGCACCAGCAGCACAGGCAGAACCCGCTCCATGGCCCCGGCACAGCCGGGGGAGGCAGCACTTCCGGGCCCCGGTTCAGCGGCCATCCCGGCCCGGGCGCTTCCTCCCGCAGAGACGCCCGCCCGCCCGCGTGCGTGCGTCACGGGCATGCGCGGTGTTCTGTGCCTTATGACTGTCACCTGAACTGCAAGGCGTTCCTACCCCTGTAGTCTTCTTAGCTGGGGGTGGGGGCGGGCCTAAGCAGACCCCGTGAAACCACACCTGCGCTCCTCTCTCAGCTCAAGTCAATAAACGCCAACTCCTGTCAATTGCTTCTGCTGTACTTGTTACTACCAAAGCTTTCTGAGACTGACTCCTGCTCATTAAAACCCAGTTGCTGGCCCCTCGTCACTTTTTGTGCAATTGCTTGGAACAACAGTCATGCGGTTCTTGGTAGCAAGGACTTTTTAATAGACTAGGATTAAAGAACTCTTTCCTCTTAAAAACAAAAACAAAACAAAACAGGCGCACAAAACAGAGCCCACCCTTCTCCCCCGGGCTTCAAGAAATCTGCTCCCACGGAATTTTGCAAAGTTGCCATTCCCATCAGATGCCCTGGAGCCCAGGGTTTGCAAAAGCAGGCCACCTGATTTATCTCCCACCAGGCAGTTTTGAAGAACGTTTTTTACCCGAAAAGCATTCGCCAGCCTCTGCCTACAAAAATTGCTTTTCAGACCCCCACATAGTGAGTTTTTCTGTACCCCTGGATACATAACTGCACGGTTTGGGGGTGCTGACCTCTCAGACCAATAGGCCTCCTTTGGGGGACAGTCTATTCTTTATGGTCCTCCACCACTGAGTTTTCTATTCCTTACAAGCCTGAACGTTAGCGTGAATATCGGAGTCAAATGATATCCTTTGTAACAGATGGATTGAGTACAGAGTGAAGCGGCTCACTCAGGGACGTACAATCCAGTATAGAAAAGGGGGGAGAGCGCTGAGACGTGCTGGAAAGGCTTGGGAGAAATTGAACAGTACCTTGCCAAGTTTTTTTATTTGATAAAGGCTCCCTGGTGGCCTTGGACTCCCGTGGCTTCTTCCCCAGCCGTCTAGCTACTCAGGAAGTCAGGGGTATGTCTCCATGCTTAGCCTTGGTAATGTGGCCACTTCCACAGTCTGAGGATTGACTCAACAGCAACCTGTTAAAGCAGCGTCCTAGCCAATCCAATCTAAAGCCTCCTCCACTCCAGTCGCTCTCAAATCATCCTGCTTCCCGACAGTACTTATGACTGATTGATATTTTCTGTCAATTCTTACCCAGCCTCTATGTACATCTGAAAGTAGCAGAGACTTGTGCGCCATTGTTATCCTCCTACCTGGAACCCGGCCTGGTGCATGAAAGGTTCTCCAGTGTTCCTCGATGAATGCAGGACTTCATCTGACAAAATGCAACCAAGCCAAGGAAGATGCTTACATCCAAATCTCTCAGCCTTAGCTCAGCTGTTTGGTTTACATAAAATCTGGCACACTGAAACAATGTCCCAGATTACATATTTATTACACATAACAAGGCCTTGCCCCTTATATTGACACACTCACAAAAAATGGTCTTCATTGTAATTCTAAACTTACAAACAAGTTTCAACATATCATTTGATGTTTCTCTAATTATACCTAAAGTCATGCCTTAATTTTAGGCAAGTCACTTAGCTTTTAAGAAGGGCTATGACAAAATGGCAGGGTCCTCCAACATAACAAAGTATGGGAAATGACTTGGACTGTATCACTGTAGGCAGGTGATGTGATGTAGTTTCATTTCTGAGATTCAGCTTCTCACACGTAAGTTCAAGAACTCATAAATCAGTACATACAGGCAAGCCTAAAAAGAGAACAAGAGTTAACTGCAAACAATCCCATATTTACAAATATTTATGGTTTAATTCATGCTTGGCTCATTCTAACAGCTAGTAAAATTCCGAGGACAGAGATTATCTCTGTGTTATTCCTGATATTCTGAAATAATCTTTCAACTATTTTTTGAATGAATTATTCAACTTTTTTGAATTACTGCTCTGAAATAGCACATACAAATGACCAAACATTGGGAATAAACCAAAGGTTTGACTGAACAGTACGAAGGACCCTAATGAGTCCAGACTGGTTACTCCACAAATACACGAGGGTCTAGATTGACTTTTTAATGTTTTGCTATGTTTACATGCTTGTTCACACGCACACAAGACACACAATCTCTTTCACACACTCACACCCACCCATACTTGCACCCACCCACTGGAACCCACCCACTCACACCACCCCTCTCCCCACACTCACACACGCACTCTCATACTCTCACACATACTCTCTTTCACACTCACACACTCACCCTCACACACACACCCTCACCCACACACCCTCACCCACCCACACTCACCCACCCACCCTCACACACCCACCCTCACACACCCACCCTCACACACTCATACACTCACACTCATACACTCACACTCATACACTCACACTCATACACTCACACACACACACTCACACACTCCACAGTGAACATTTGCAGGTCACAGGACAACTTTTAAGAGTTACTGCCTCCTTCCATGTGTGCTGCCTGCTCAGCCATCTCACTGGGGTCTCATATCTCACTACGCAGAACTGGCTGGCCTAAAACTCACCTCTGTCTGACCCGAAGTGCTGGGATCAAAGGCATGTGTTACCATGCCCGGCCCATAGAACTCTGTCTAAAGCACATTACTGTCCATGCTCACAGCTTCACTGAGATTGGATCTGCAGACCCGGACGAGGCTGTGACTGTTTCTGTAAGCACTTACTCCATTCTGGCTTCCAGCTGCTGCACTAGCTGTTTGTCCATGTGATGGCAGAAGAGGGGAAGCAGGTTCCTGGGGAAGTCTAGGGGCTCTGCCAGGGATGCTGTGGGCAACTGAGATATCTCCCACGCAACCAGAATCACCAAGTCTGTCCTGAGGGAAGGAAGAGAGCTGCTGTACTATTCAGGAAACCCCATCCACCAGCAGCCACTGGTCCCATCCCACACAGCAATTGAGAGGTGACACGTGTACATTTGGTACATACCCGGCAATGCCTATCCGATCTTAATAACTCTAAGGAGTTAAAAGCACTACTCCCAGATGAAGAAACAGAGTAACAGGTGAAATGTCTCAAAGTTACATTGCAATAGACAGGTTTGTTTGACTCTAAAATGTATCTTCTTTAATTACTATGACCCTGTTCCCCATGGGAAACTAACATTGTAGGATACTCTGTGGGGACAGGAGAAGATACAGTTCTGGGATGTCTTCTTCTCTGCCCAACTTCCTCCCTGGTCCTCTAATATGCTATTCAGGATCTCTTTGGTCAGGCTCGCCCTGCACACCCAGCAATGTTGGAACGTTTTGACAAGGCCTTTGCCATCTTACCAGGCTGCGCAGTCACTGCTGGATTGGAGGGAAGAATCCAGGGACATCAGCTGCTCTCCATGACTCAGCAGGGCATAAAGCAGAGATATCCCAAACTGTGAGTGATAGAATAGACAATTTGAGACAAAAGGGGGACAACCTAGGCATTTTGGGCTTCTCTGGTTTTGCTGGCTTCCTCCTGAAGGACAGGCTTGCGTGTGCAGATGGAGACCAATGCCACAAGAGTGGTCAGATTTTACAGCTAAAAAAGAACTCACTGCCCTGAACTTTCCACAAGCCTTTGAGAGCTGACTAAATGGGGGTGGGGGAATGTCAGTCAGTAGATGAAGAATGATTCGGATAGTTTGTGGGCCGCACTTTCAGAAGTACCACCTTCAGGGGGCTGGAGAGATGGCTCAGAGGTTAAGAGCACTGCCTGCTCTTCCAAAGGTCCTGAGTTCAATTCCCAGCAACCGCATGGTGGCTCACAACCATCTATCTGTAATGAGGTCTGGAGCCCTCTTCTGCCCTTCAGGCCTACATGTGAACAGAATATTGTATACATAATAAATAAATAAATATTTAAAAAAAAAAAAGAAGTACCACCTTCAGCAGAGAGCTACAGAGGAGATTGCACAAGAGAATTCACTAGCTATAAACACAGTCTGTCAAGTCTAAAGCGGCAATACTTACAGACTTGCTGTTGTGGACTGGGGGCAGAGTTCAATGCTATGGGAAGTGCCTAGTTTGTGACTTATTTTGGATGCTCAGGACAAAGAAAAAGACTTTATCTCTTCTTTAGAAGAAAAACCTAATGTTATAAACACATGGGGATGTCTCCATTTTTTTTTTCTCTAAAGGTACACAAAAAAAAGTTTTGAAACTTCTGGTGTGGAAGCGGTTACCACCAGCAGTCACAGGGATTCCATCACAAAGATGTGGCACCCCTCCCCCGCCACACAGAGATCTCAGATAGTCCAAGCTAGCCTTGAAGTCACCGTAAAGACAAAGGTGACCCTGAAACCCGGGTACCCTCGTTTCTATTTTCCTTTTCAAGCATGCACCACCACTCTCGCTTTGTATGGTGCTAGAAACCGAAACCAGAACTTTGTGCACACCCCACAAACACTCAACCAACGAGCCACCCCCCCCCTCCAGTCAAGATGTGTACTTCTCTTTTCTAAATGCCAGGAGGTAAGAAGTCCTGTACCACACGCCATTCCCACTGTGGCATTCGCCACAAGTCTCACCACATACTGAGAAGCAACAGTGCCAGACGGTATAGAAAGAAAAGGAGAGAAGAGTTGGGGAAAGGAAGAGAACAGAGAGGAAATGGGGGGGGGCAGCCACCCCCCCCCCCACATAGCTCCTTGTTATCTCCTGGGAGTGGGACCGAGGACCTGGTACTTAATAAGATTTATGTCCAGATGATCCTTTGCTCCCTGGAAGGTTTTGAGACAGGTTTAGGGTGTCCTAACCCTCGCTGTGATGATTAAGCTGATCTTGAACTCATGGTCCTTCTGCCTCAGCCTCCTGCATACTAAAAGTAGACCATGTCCAGTTCTCACTGGACACTGAGAAGTGCTATTGAGGATAAGATTTGTGTAGAGATGAGACTATCCTCTTTACAATTTCTAGTAGGCCATTGAGAAGTCATCTATGGGAGGCCTGTCATGGTGGCTCATGCCAACATAAAGGTCATGAGTTCAAGGTTATCCTTGGCTATCTGGAGAGTTCTAGGCCAGCCTAAGCTATATGAGACCCTGTCTCAAAAAGAAATCTAAACAAACAAAAAGCCATCTATGGAAAGAAAAGTGTCCCGGATATATTACCTGATTCTGAAGCACCACAGAGACTGGCCGCTCTGTGGTGCCAGGGGGCAGCAACATTAGACCCTGAAGTCCATGGAGGAGCTGATGGAAGGTCAAATAACGGATGTATTTTCCCAGAGGTTTGAATAGAATGTGTAGAGCCTACAAGAAAATCACTAAGCATCTCTCCCAACTCTACCACAGCTTCATCCCCTCATCTTTACCTCCAGTTCCTTCCCTGGCTGACTGGCTGTACACAGCTCCTTGGTCCGGGTCCTCGCCAGGCCTCCCACTGCTTATGACTCTCTATTCCTAATGGAGTCCTAGAATATTGACTTATCTTACAGTGGCTTTCTATAGGACGCCGCCGAGAGCCGCCCCTCCTCAGAGGACCCTTATCTCTGCTCACGCGCACTCACCCCTGTACGGCCGCTCACCTACTTCCCTCTCTCGTCATACCTGAAGATGATCTGCTGCCGCTATGGTCGTTCGTTCTGTAACTTCCTTATTTGAGGGGTGGGCAGCACACTACTCTATCTCTTGCTGGCATCTCTAATGAAGGGAAGGGAGATAGGAGAGGGGAAAGACCCCAAGCCCATCGAGACCACCCTCTTTGCCACTCACTGCCGCAGTACCTGGTCAGCCATGTCCCTCAGGATCAGGAGAGGCAGATGGTAGGTGATATACAGGAGAAGGCTAACGGCTTGATCGTGGGGCAAGAAGGGGAGCAGCCGAGCCACCAGAATTTTCCCTTTCCTCACAGACAGCACCTGCAGAAGGCTATCTGCTGTCTCCCTACAGGGGAGAGAGGAGAGTGTTTTGAGACCTGTGCCAGGGAAGAAGGCTTCATGCCAGCAGCCAGCCCCCACAGCCGCTGAGCCTCCTCTTCTGAGGCTAAGGTGGGACTCTCTCATACTCACTCCAAGTTGTCCTGCCCCTGGGTCTTTAAGGCCTGAAAGAGCTTCTCCACCTGGTTGCTCTGTTCCCCCGAGTGGTAGAGCTGTGGAAACCCATCATTCTGGCCCTCCTCAATTTCTAGCAACTGAAGGAACACCTGGAAATTCGACAGTGGCGGGGAGGGGGGAGAGGTGGTTAACTGAGCAGTAGCCCATCCTTAAAATTTTAGTCAAGAGCATCCATCTCCCAGTGAGCTTGTCTCACCTTCTCAATCAGGGAGAGAACTCGGAGCCTCTGACTGCTTGCAGCTCCCGTATCCTAGGCACAAGGGGTACCTGGCCATCAGTCACACCGTCAGTGCGGCTGGAAAAGGCTAGATACAAAGTCTGACCGCGCTGCTTCCTCATCCGTATGTCACGATGTAAGAGTGTTTAAACCCAAAACACAAATGCATTCTAGACAACAGGGGCAGGGAAAATTCTAGGAAGATCACACTCTCCTACCTGCTCTTGAGTTCCGTGAGATACGGCATCAATAGCTCGGCGAGGGCTAAAACATGTTGATACAGCTACCTGGCCCAGGGAACCCTCAATTCGTACCACTGCATAAGAGAGCCGGGAGGAGCATGTTTCTCTACAGGAACACCCATGCACCCAGATACCCAGCCCAAGCCAGCAGTCTGGCCCTACCTGACTCATAAATTTCTGCCTTCTGGATGTGAGGCGTGACCAGTTTGAGAGACTCAGCCCCGTTCCTCTGCCCAAGCAGCTCTTTGTCTGCCTGTGTCTTCTCTAGCTTCTGATAGTATCCCTGAGGGTCCAGGGAGCAGGCAAAGGGTGTGGGTGTTTATAAGGTATCCTGAAGGCTTACAAAAGTGCACAGATGTGGACAGGCCCACATTTCCAGGGTAGAAATGGGAACCTCTCAAAAGGATGGAGAGAACAGCCTTGGGTATTTAGAAAAGAGTCAATAACTCCATTAGACCAAAGCGTAGGAGACGAGGAAGGGGCTTGGGACACTAACTTTAGGAAGATGGGTTCTTTCTTGGGCGTGACTGTGCCGGCACCTAATCAGATGTGGCCCCTAGGAGTTGGAGTGAGGGTCACAAGGCCCAGGAGTCCTAACTTATCTGGCCAAGGTCTAAAGGTGGGATGAGGGGGTCGGGAGCTCACCTGGTAGTAATAATCGTCCAGGCGAGGGTTCTCACTCTGCAGCTGAACCATCTGCACCTTTATCACCCAGTCCTTCTCTTTTCGGGTCATGAGGTTAGCATAGGTGTCTGGCTTCAGAGACCAAGGCTTCTTGGCTAGGAGACTTCAAACCAGTAGAAACATCCCTTTAGGCAAGCCCTGCCACTGTGACTTCCCAAGGTGATGTGAGCAGGCAGTGAAGTGTTCTTGGAAGGACTGGAAAAGGTGCAGTGTTGGGCAACGGTGATGGAGTACCATTATGGAGTGGGGGAAGATGGCTAGTCACAAGGAAATACCAGGTATACGTGCAGACTGCTTCCCCACAGCCCCGCTTCTCATCTAGGCCTTACCTCACGGTTTGACTCCTCTGCCGCAGTAGGGTCCTTTGGTGCTGAGGGTGAAGCTGGGTCAGATGACTGGGAAGGCTTAAAAGGAAATCAGCTGAGTGGAAAACTTCTGTCCTGCATCCCAACTGTCCGTGCATTCACCGGGTAAGCTCCAGTGAACATCTAAGGCAGCCCTGTGCATCTACATACCTCCCCCACAAAAAGCAAAAAACAACACAATCCTCATTTCCCCATGAAATGGTTCTCTGCAATCTGAATGCCGACAATCTGGGCACAATAGGCAACCTTTTGGCATGGTTGTTAGCAAGTCCTAATCTGTCGGGGTAGCCCACCTCTCTTCTTTAATTCCCTTGGGGCTCTGTTTCTTCAGCTGTGAGGGAGCAGAGACTGGACTATGCTTCCGATTTTTATTAGTGTATCTAAGTGTTTTTCCGTGGCAACTGACAGAAGGTAACGGAGGTGGTCCTTGGCCACCATGTCTTATGACCTATGGGAGGAACTCAGCCTGTCCTTATTGTGCAGCCCGTCCCTGGTACCTGAGTTTAGGGGGCCATGAGGCCAGTGGGTCGTAGGACAGAAGAGGATCCGGTGAAGGCTGGTGAGGTCCCATGTGGCAGGCTGGGAAGCTGGCTCTTGAGAATGGAGGCTGGAAAGGAATTGGCCACAGATAGTCCAGGGGACAAGCGGGGGATACTCCACTGAGAGAGGAGTGAACGCTGTCCCTGCTCGGGGTTTCTCACCTGCCTTTTCCCCTCAGTGATTTCGCCCAGGGTTTTACAAAACCCTCAAGGCAGCTGTGGAGACCGTGCTTCCTGCCTTTGACAGTTTGCCACCTCCTAGGAGATGCCTTTTCCGTCTTTGAGGATGGGGAGGAGGATGCTTTTGAACATCCTTTCTGCTTTTGTGTTCTGTCTTCAGCTACTGAGGGCAGGCTCCTCAGCCTTTTTTTCTGCCTCACCCAAGCCCTCAGCAGAGCTCAGTTACCCTATAGCTCTCCCTACGGGGTTTCCCAGTCTTCCGTTCTTACACTATTAAGTATTTCATGGGCAGCCGGTGTCTTTCCTGCCCCTGAGTTCAGTACTTGATCATCTGCTGAGATATTTTATAATGTCGCAGTAGGAATCTATTGCGTGTCCCGTTCCGTATGAGTGACAGTTGTTCCCATAGCACTTACTAAGGCCATCCTGCACCACCTGTCATTTACCAAGCTCTTCTGCCTGGTGTGGCTGTCCACCCCATACCAATGCCTCACTTTGGACGCTTCATCTCCAGGGGAAGGGTAGACTGAACATAATGAAGCAAGCAAGGGACATTCAACACTTCCAGAAATGGAAATGTTCTGCGTCACTCAGTCACCTCCTCACAGGATAGAGACTAGACTCGACTCACCTGGCACAGAAAACGCAAGGAGCCTTGTGACATCCCCAGGGTACCAAGGGCCTCGGCTCCAGAGGAACCGTGCAGGCCTCTCTGGAACAGAAAGGAAGAAATGCCAGGTTCGAATGGACCCCACACTGTCTTTTGCTTTTTGTTTTCATGGGAACAATGCTTGGATAGCAAAGTCAGTTATTTCAACAGCCGGGAGAATAACAACCTGGCCTTCCCCTTCATCCTCAAAGCCAAATGTGCCAGGCTCCTTCTTCCTCCTGAGAAGAGGGCTAACATTTTAGGGGTAGGCTGCAGGAGGGCCAAGTCACCTGGCTTATATGGGAAGTCCTCGTCTTTTTCCACTGGTTGTGTGAATGTAAGGGATCACATACTAGGCATGGCCTGCCAAGACACAAGGCTAAAACAAAAGGGACGACCAATAGTCAGGTGGCTATCTGTGGGAGACACAGGACCCTGCGGGGGTTTTGAGTCCACATGAACTCCGAGGCACACGTGTGTGTGTGTGACTGTGTGTGGTGTGGAGGGAAGAGGAGGACCTCAGATGTCTACAGGCTTTTTCTACCTTTTTCTTGAAACAGGATCTCTCATTGGCCTGGAACTCTCATTGGCCATATAGGCTGGGTGAACTGAGCAAGCTGGCCTTAAGCTCCTAAGGTCCCTCTTGTCCCTACCTCCCATTGCACTGGTTAGGATTACGGGGACACACTGCTGTATACAGGGTTTACATATGTTCCCGGGATCTGAACTCAGATCCTCATATTTGCAAGGCAAGGACTGTAGTTTAGTGGCCTCCTGCCCCAGCCTTGTGGATTTTTGCTTGTTTGATTTTGGGGCACACTTGTGTGTGTGAGAGAGAGAGAGTACACGCATGCACGCCTGGTCTGTCTGTCTGTGCCTGGGTCTCTTTATGCAATCCAGACTGGGGACAAGTCATGACCCTTCTGTTTCCACCTCAGGAGTCTTAGTGCTGGGATTGCAGGTGTGGTGTGCACCACGGCACCTGGCTTCGGACCTGATTTAAGGTAAAGGACAGCTGCAGAAGCGTCAATGGGAGAGGAGAAAGCCCCAGCTCAGCGTCATACCTGAAATAATCCATGGCAACTCAAAATGGGTCTTAAAGATTGTTGAGTGACAGTCTGTGAAGGAACGTGGACGTTCAGGACCTCTCTCTCTAGCCCTACCTGCCGTGGTACTTGGGTATTTTGGATGACACTCAGGATGGCTGGATCCCCGAGATCATTCCTTTCCTCCTCCACATCTGGGGCCTGATCTGAACACACATCTTCCTCTTCGTCCTCCTCTTCCACTTTCTCCAGGTGGAAGGAAGATACTGAGCCTTCTTCAGGAGCCAGGGGAACAGAGAACTTGCTTGGCCCCTGGTGTAAGTGCAGGCCTCGGGAAGAAGATAGCGAGAGACATTGCTGTATTAATGGTGTGAAAATTCTGATCTAGACAAGCTGATGCTCCATTTAGAAGCCATCTCTAGAATCATTTTTCTTTTCCTTTTCTTTCTTCCCCCCCCCCCCAGGGTTTCTCAGTGTATTCTTGACTATCCTGGAACTTGCTCTGTAGACCAGGCTGGCCTCGAACTCACAGAGATCCACCTGCCTCTACCACTGGGCTCTAGAACCATTTTTGAACACCATGCTGTCTTAGCTCCGCCCCAGGACACTCCCAAATGAGCCTCCATTAGCACTTAACAGACACCAAACCCCTTCACTGCCCGGGGATCACTTCAGTGGTCTGAATGGATACCACAGGCCTCTCTCTCTAACTCCACCCATTCTTCCTAATCTAACTCCACCCATTCTTCCTAATCTAACTCCACCCATTCTTCCTAATCTAACAAGCCCTTCTGCTGCCTCTTTAAATGAGCTCATCCCAGCTGTCCCCCTTCAGTGCAACTTAACCCTGGATGATCCCTACCCTACACTGCACGCCTACATACAGTCATACAGCGCTGTTAGAGCACTGCTGGTAGTTTTCCCGCAGCAGCCAGGAAAACAAAAGCCCAGACAACCCTGTCTCAGAAAGCTAGCCACGGTAGAGCTTTCAGTCACGGTACTGCGCCCGGTCTCTTAACCACGCTGATGGGTACCTCTTGCCTGCGGCCTTCTGGACATTTTCGGTAGACACTCGGCCCACGTGGTAAAACCTTCAAGACATTTCATCTCGGCAGCCTGGTGGGATTCCTTGCCAGTCGTGTCCCTCACTGATAGAGAAGCCTCGAGAAGGGAAACCTGGGACGGAGAAGAGACCCAGAGACCCTCTCTTCCTCGATGAGGATGGGCTGGCCCCTAAAACGTCCATGGTCTCCTTTCAGCACGGTGGGCAGAGAATTACTGACCCAAGGCTTCAAGAAGTCAGAGTCTGAGGTCTCAAATAAGCATAAGCCCCCACCCTCCTCCCTCCCACCCGAGCAGCTCAGCCCCAAGGAGGGACAGAAGTTAGGGATCTGGCTAGGTCCTGGAAGACTACAACCAGCCACTGTTTGTGTACAGTGGCATCCTGTTGCTTGACACCCACCACGTGACTGCTGCTGTCCTTCCCACGTAGGTCAGCCATGGCAGCCAGGGCCTGCTTGTTTCCCCTAGCTTTTGAAGACTCAGCTCTGCCTCCTGCTCACCTGTTAAAGGACCAGCATGCTTCACGGCTGAGCTAGTGCAGAAGTATGAGAACGCTAATAAGAAAATTCTTAGTCAGGTGTGGTAGCACAGGCCAGTGGTCCTCACTCTTGAGAGATGGAGACGGGAGGGTTAGGAGTTTAAGGAAAGTGTCAGCTATCTAGGAAACTTGAAGCCAGACTGGACTTCACAAGACTGACCAAAACAACAACAAAATAAGAACAAACAAACAAGAAAACTCTTAACTGATTATAGGGTCCACACCTGTAATCCCAGCACTTGGGAGGCTTAGATTTAAGGCCAACCTGGGCTACATAGTGAATTCCAAGTTGGTTTGTTCACCAGAATTTGGCCTTGTCTCAAAAGATAAAAAACAAACAAACAAACAAAAACAATAAAAGCAAAACAAACAAAATCCCTCTTGACTGGGTTAGAGAAATAAACTGCATATTTAACTGTCTAAGACTCTGAGTACAGTTTGATGGGGCTCACTGCAATTTTTCGGGCAAATGCTTAAAAAGGTGTCCTTTAAGGAGGGTTTAGGAATTAGTGATGAACTTTGCTTCCATTAGATACTCCAGCCTAATTGGGGAGGAAAGTTCTGGATGCATCCTGAGGAGGTTGCTGCTGGGACGAGCATCCAAGGCTCCTCCAAGTCCACCTGAAGGTGCTTGAGCCTCACTGGGTTACAGCAAGCCGCTCACTTACCCAGCTGCCAGTGGTGCATGGCCCTTAAGGGTGAGCCCGCCTTTGCACAAGACAGCACGGATTTACAGCACCTCGGCTAGTTTCACAGAAAGAGCTGGGACTGCGATATGTAGGTATGCATTTTACTGTAGGCAAAACACAATTATATTTCCATATCATTTGCTATTACATGTGCGTGGTTTGGACCAGGGCTTTGTACACGCTAGCCAGGTGCCCAGCCACCTGAGTTCCATGCCCAGCACTTGGGAGGCCGAGGCAGGAAGATTGTCTCCAGTTTGCGGCCAGCTGAGGCTTTAGAGCTGGTTCAGGCCTGGGCTGCATAGTGAGACCCTGTCTTGAAGCAAACAAATGGAGGAGGAGAAGAGGAGGGAGAGAAACTAGCTGTACCAAAAGACTCTGAAGGGCCCGCAACCTGGCACAGAGATGGTTTTCTCCAGGGATGCCTAACTACTGTCCAACCTAAAAATAGACTAGTGCAGGGCTTGACTGATCCCTGTAGGTGAGGCTTATTTTTTAAGGACACGGGGAGTGACCTGTATTTTGCCTTCGCCTCAACCTCCTTGCATACTCACGTTATTGACTCTGGCATGGATTCCCTATTGCACTGTTCCTCCCAGATGATTCGTGGTCTCTGGAGCATCTGTTATTCAGGTTGCAGCTGCCACCCGGGTGTGTCGTACTCCAGCCATGCCTCCCTCCATGTGGTCCCCCAGGACATTGCTAAGAACATAATGATGACACCTCATTGTGAAGCTTAAAAAAAAAAAAAAACATAAATTTCACCTCAAAAAGTAAAACAACACTGAAGATATTTATGCCAAAGTAAATTCCAGATAAAGCAAAGAATTTGAGTAAATAAATCCTTAAACATACTAAAAAAATGGGAGACTGGAAAGACGCTCTGTGAGTAAAGGTGCTGCTGCCAAGCCTGATGACCTGAGTTCAATCCCCGGGGTTCCACGTGGTAAAACTCTCGACTCCTGCAAGTTCTCCCCCATCTCTTCACACATACACCAGGGTGTGAGCATGAACACACGTGTGTGCATATACACACAACAGAAACAAATAAATGTTTAAACATTCTTTTTAAAACTCCACAAGGGGGCTGGAGAGATGGCTCAGAGGTTAAGAGCATTGCCTGTTCTTCTAAAGGTCCTGAGTTCAATTCCCAGCAACCACATGGTGGCTCACAACCATCTGCAATGGGGTTTGGTGCCCTCTTCTGGCCTGAAGGCATAGACATAGACAGAATATTGTATACATAATAAATAAATAAATATTTAAAAAAAAAAACTCCACAAGGAGCTGGAGGTGTAGCCCGGTTGTTAGAGCACTTGTCTAGCATGAACATGGCCTGGGTTACAGAAGTCTCCAATCCAGGCATAGTGATACACACCTCTAACCCCGGCACTTGGAAGGAGGAGGCAAGAGGATTGAGAATTCAAGGTCACCACAGCTAGTAGAGAGTTGAAGAACAGCTTGGGCTACTTAAGACAGTGTCTCAAAATCAACTAACCAAACAAGCCCCTCCCCCAAGCCTCAAAGTTCTTATTGTTTCTCTCCATATATGCTTCTGGTTACATTATGAGAAAAGTGACTATATAAATAAGAAAAGATACTTTGCTTTTCAAACCTGTATTCAATACCCAGTCAAGTAATTCTCTAGTGATTTATAGCTCAACACATTAAAAATTTCATTGTGTTCACGTGTGTGTGCGTGTGTGCATGTACTATGCACGTGTGTTCAGATGAATGTGCTCAGGGGAGGACAAAGGAAAACGTTGGGTGTTTTCTGTCACTCTGTCTTTTTTGAGACACGCTCTCTCACTGAGCCTGGGGCTAGCCATTTCTGCTAGGCTGGTGGGCCATCGAGCTCTTGTGATCTTCCTGTACCGACCTCCAACACTGAGCTTACAGGCACAGCCGAATTTTATTTAGATTTGAACTCAGGTGCCCCCGCGTTCCCACACAACGCTCTTACCCACAGAGCTGTTTCTTCAGCCCCCACACTTTCTATTATCAATATTTAAATGCTACATTTGCAAAAGCCCGGGTAAGTGAATCTTTTGTTTTTGAGAGGTCTTGCTATGGAACTGATTTTGACCTATAATTCCCTATGTAGCCCAGGCTGGCCTCAATCTCAGGATCCTCAGGCCTCAACTTTCCAAATACTTGAATTGTAGGTGTGCACCACCACCACCACCACCTTGGCTTGGAAGTTCGGCTTTCGGCAGACGTGTGATAGAAATCTAGAAACCCATTTTGCTCTACCTGCAAGCTGGTAACTGATCTCCAGTGAGGCTGGGGGGGAATCTGGCTGGCGGGAGTAATTGTTCTAGAGCATCATGGGAGGACAATGCTAGTCACCGGAACAGGCCGGTTCACACCGCGCTCATCCTACCAGGGGATCTCAAGCTGGAAGAGATGGGTGTGCCCAAGTTGACAGAGAACTCACAGTCGACAGTGGCTACTGTACTCAGAGCTAAAACCATAGACCATAATTCCTTCCTCAGCCTCTGCCCCTTAAAGCCTCCCTTCCAAGTGTTTAATTCTAAATGAGAAACTGAATGATCAAAGTAACCTATTTATTAATCTCTTTAATACTAATGTTCGAACCCAGGGCCTTGTGCATGTTAGGTAAGTATTCTACTACTGACCTACCCCACCCCCCCAGCTTCATCTCTGTGACTTTTTCTTTCGGCGTGTGTACAGGTTGCAGGGGGATGGGGTGGGCACACACCCATGTACACATGTGTAAAGGACAGAGATTCGTGTCAGGTGTCTTCCTCTATTGTTCTACTCCTCATTTTTGGTGACAGTCCTCCTAGAACCTGCAGCTCTCTGTGTCGGCTAGCCTGTCCAGACAGCGGGCATCCTGGATATGACGCACAGATGTTCTATGTCTGTGACCCTCCCAGCCCTGGGGTTATTGACATGCATTACAGTGCCAAGCATTGATGTAGGTGCTAGGGATCTGAACTCAGGTCCTTACTTTACCAACTGAGCCGTCTCCCCAGCTCCCACCCCACTTATATCTAATTCTAACAACTGGTTGTATTCAGAATACTAGACAGAGCTCACGATACCTGTTACCACAGAAGTCAAGGAGCAAAGACTGGAGAGGAATGTGCAAATTGCTCTTTGCAGTCAGCAGCTTGAGAAGGCATCAGGTTAACATCCTAAAATCTGCTGTGGTGGTTTGAAGGAGGTATTATATTTCCGTGATGTCTTAGACATTTCAATGCTTGGTGTCTGGTTGGTGGCTAGGAGGTGTGGCCTTGTTAGAGACACGAAGCCTTTGTGCTCACAGGTGTGTGCTAGACAGTGTTTCTCAGCTCACAGGTTGAGACCCACGGCAGAAGGGGGGGTGAAAGGGTGGGGGTGATGGAGGTGGAGGTCAAGGTCAAATGACCCTAAGACCATCCTGCATATCAGATATTTACATTATTATTCATAACAGTAGCAAAAATAGAGTTATGAAGTAGCAATAAAAACAATTTTATGGTTGGGGATCTCCACGACAGGAGGAACTAACTGTATTAAAGGGTCGCAGCCTTAGGAAGGCCGAGAACCTCTGCTCTAGGAGAGCCTGGAAAGTTAAACACACAGGGCTGTTCCTTCAAGGGAAGGAATTCAAAAGCTGTGCTCTGGCCAGAAGACTGGAACAGACATGTTTATTAGTCTAGTGACTTCTGCTTTATCTGTGTGGCTAGAGGTTTTCCAGCCCTGGATCCTCTCTCTCCCAGACCCTCACATATAAATTTGTTTTTCCCAGAAAGTCTTCATGGACATTACAGAGAGTTTGGATGATTTCACGCATGATCTGTTTCTCAAGGAGATTAATGTATGCTTTGTTGTGCATGCTGCATTGAGTTAGTTATCACCACAACAGTTTTCACTAAATTGTGTTGTACTTCACTGTGCTTAAAATAAGCAATTCGAGGTCAGACTTCCAAAGTTGTAGCATGAATAATAAACACCCATAAACAGATATTGGGCTCAACCTAAAGATCAGAAAAGCAAAGCAGCCAGCTCCTGGTTCTTCCCTCTACATCAGATGGAAAATGGGTGAGATCCTGTCTCCATGAATCCTGAAGACT